GCTGTTAAGAATAAGGAAATTTTACCAAGAAGCCTAAATACAATATCAAGACAGTAATTATCAGAAACAAAGACATTTGTCAAAAGTAATTATCATTTGTTTTCATGCATCTTATCTATGCTGAAACTGACTCTTTTCAGTTCATTTTCAGATCATTTGCTTAACCCTGTTAAAAACATTTTAACGTGAGTCAAAGCTTTTAGCCATATGACACTGCATAAAGAGTTTATTTCTTTGACTTTATTCAGTTAAATTCATAAGTACTTAATTCTATGTTTGTTTGATCATACCTGGCATTCTTGAGAGGAATAAACTCATAGATATAGCTAATATATTTTAAATACATTTTAAATCTGTCAGTCTGAATATCACAATCTATGCTATAGTCAGTTTTGCATCTTATGTGTAACTGAAGAGCTATTTGGTCAAATTCTATGATTCCATAATCATTTTATAATTGTTTACATGAAATATTTTATCCAGTAACTTCCTTTACTTAAAGTATTGATTTAAATAGATGATAACATATTCTTTCAGTTTCCCTTCTGGGGGGATTAGCAGGTAAACGGTTAGACAAACTCACAGTCAACAGGTCGTCAAGTGGACTAAAAGGGAGTGCATTCCTACCCAGTCCTAAAACAGCTAGGACCACAGTTCTGGATGTCAGGGAGATGAGGGGACTGGATTGCTGGAAATGCATAGGCCCTCATGCCCTTCCCTAAGGCATTTACAAAAAATAGTCCTGAGATAGATGGGCCACTGGTCTGCCCAGTTGAGCATTTCTTCCTTTCTTAAAATCAAATAATAATAATACAAATAAGAAAAAAAAAAAAAGAAAAAAAAAAGAGAGAGAGAGAGAAAGAGTGAGAAAGAAAAGATAAAGGGAAAAGGGAAAAAGAGAAGAAAAAAAAAATTACTTACGTATCTGTTCTTTTGTGTAAACTTGCCTTTCTCTTTTTACTCTAAGGATAAGTAGTAAAGGAGAATACTGAATAAATATGTCTGTGACTAACAGTGATTTGTAACGTGAGGTCAGAATTTAGCCCAGATGATGCTCTTCTCTTTTCAAAAAGCAGCAGCATTTTTAAGGGGATTAGTAATTGCAGTGTCTTTTCACTTGACAATATGAATCACTCCTAGAGTGGACAAACAAGGAGAAAAAATGCAACAACAAGCAAGCAACACAATAGCTCTTTTGTGACCACCAACAACTCACAAAAATATTATTTTCATTCATTTATTTGCACATGTATGTATTTGCAGAAGGCAAAACACAACTAGATGGATCATTTAAATTCTGAAAGATATGAAACTTGGATGACTCTGTGGAAAATTCTCAGAAATAATCTCGATGGAGTGGTTTTATTCATCTCATTCTACTTTTCTCAAGGGCTGACATACGCATAAAAGGGGAACATGATCCCTTGCACATGTTCTCCATGAGGACTGCATGTAGCACGATCATTAACTTAAAACAAGCTTTGCTGACTCTTACTCAAAGGCATTGCTGAATCTAAGCCAAAGGAATGCAGACTGGCATTTCTCCATCTACTCTGATCAGTGAATAGGGTGAAAAGACAATCCTGTTTCACTGCACAAAATATTGCAGTTTCAGTGGGCTTATGACGTCTGTCCTAACAAGTCTGCTGTGCAGTGTGAGACATTTTAGAAGTGATCATCCTTTGCTGGGCTGCTGCAGGCTGACTACACTCAAAGACAGGGGGACATATGAGAGGACAGGCAGCTGGGACCGAGCTTACTAGACACTGCTAACACAGTAAGATCCTACCAAAAGAAATCACCAAAACTTTAGTGATCCTCGTTTTTCTGTCAGTCCCTCACGCAAGAAACTATACTGCAGTTAGACCACCTACAACACGTGCTGCGTATGTGTGACCGGGACAAATGGAAAACACAGGGGGGCCTCAGGAGCTCCCAGAATGCCAATATTAGATGAGGGCACAGCAACACATCTGTGGGGACAGCAGCTCTTCTGGGTTCTTCTTTATGGAGTGAGGAGTGACAGCCCTTGTCCTTAGTAGTCATTTGGCTTTGCTCTCATATTCTCTCTGCAGCTTTTAGTTTATCCAGGGGCTATGCCTCCTATTCTCCCGTCAACTGCTTTCATCATCTGTCAGTTCTACCATATGGTTCTAAACCTTGTCTGGGAAGCTCCACCTCCAGGTTGAAACAAACCAAACATATGGAATACTGTTTCAGAGGTGGAGGTTAAAACCATCTTCAGATGATTAGTAACCCTGGTTACTATTTTGAGTTCTTAGAGAAAGCAATTTGCAATGATCAATAAACTGCCCGGCATGCTTTGGGAAATGGAAAATCCAATCTCTATGTAATAGTTTATTCTGTAACAAAGAGTGTAATTTTTTTTTATTTAAAACTAATCTGTCTATAGTAATTCACCTTGTTTACAATCCAAGCCAAGCAGTTGATTTTTCAGAATAGTATTTTGTTTTGAGTCAGTTCAAACTCTTTCAGTAGCCATGTGAGCTTCCCACAGTGTCTCTTGGGAAGTGTAGACCAGAGTTTTCCCCTTTGAACTGGTCTACCCTGTCTGGTAAATCTCCCAAATGCTTTAACATCTTCCCTCTAGTTAACACTAAAAAGTGAACTATGGAAGAAAACGCATGAATGGTGTCTGACAGGATAAATGGAGTAAGAAGAGAGCCCAGCTTACTGGAAGCGATAAATATTTTATAAGAATAAAAGAATAATTATACTTGGTCAGGTAAAAAGTAAATTTAGCATTCATTTGTGCTTTTGACATTGGTCAGCAGAAGGGGCAAAAATAAAAAACAAAATTAGAAGCTAATTGCTTCTTCTAGTTTATTGTCTCAGCTTCCAAAAATATGCCATTTCTGGGACTTTTTGATCTAGAGACTGCATCCAGAGCACTATGTCTAATATCTACTTTATGCATCTTCAAATAAATATTTCAATCTGTTTTTTTAAATCAATTTATACTTTTAGCCTTCAGAACGCCCTGCAACAAAGAAAGTTTCTGTTTAATTATGCATAGTGTGAAATAGGGACTTTCCTTCATTCATTTCAAAACTTCAGTTTTAAATTGGTATTGGGTGTCTTCCAGTTCTTTCACTTAGAAACAGTGAATAACGCTTCCCTAGCTATCATTCCAATCACAGTTTTTCAAACCTATCACATAATCCTCTCATTGTGTCTTCTATTTATCCTCTCATCCTGGGGAAATGGTTCATATCTTTGATCTTCCTGGTCCCCTTGAACTACAGTTCCCATGAGTCTCTTGAAGAAGCTCAGGGGACAAAAAACTGACACCAAATTAATTTAAAACAAAACGTTCAAAAAAACCCCTGCATAATACTTTTGACCCCTTTCTGTGTATTTTGTATATTTTAGTTCAGTCCTCCATAGGTATGAAAACTGTTATACTGATTTAACATTTTTTCTGGGAATAAGAATTGCAATTTCAATCATTTTTATCAGAAGTTTTCCTACACACAGTTAAATACGTATTTGTGCAGATCCATATTGACATCAAGACTAAAGTTCAATTTGCCACAAAATTCAAACAATCTCCATAAAAAATCACCAAATGTGGAAGTAAACCTGACTGCAGGCAGATGTAAGCAGGTTTCCTTTTGAAGCAAAATGAAGTACAAGCAATAAATAAATAAGAAGCAAATCTGACTTTGTTTTAATATTATTTTTTTTAATTACCTTAGTAAAACAAGGTAATGCCTTGCAAATCTAAATAAACTCAATCGATTTTAGTGGATTTTCCTGCATTTAAAAGAGAAGAATTTATCATCTGACACTTTCCATTAAAAACTACTTCTCTAAATGCTATGCTGGGCACAGCTATTTTTTGGAAACTTCTAATGTTGTCAGACTAATGCTTGACAGTTAAGCACACATGGTAAAGCAGAGAGATTTTGTTCTCAAAAAAAAAAAAAAAAAAAAAGTCTATATTGCAAACCAAAATGAAGCTGCTGAGGTCCAGTGTTGAGGCATCAGGGCTATAAGTCATTCTCAGATAGCATTACTAAGATAACAAAAATGCATATGCTTATTTTCAAGGGCTGTGTCTGGAGAAGAAGCACAGCACGGCTGTCATGCGAACAGCTCGGTTGCCTGCTCTGAAGACGGTTTTATATTCAGAGGCATCCCCCTCTCCACCAGTTGCAGTCACTTGCCCCCTTTGCTCTGAAAATAAATCAATTTCATCTGCTGCAGTTCGATTTCTTTCTTCTCTCTGCCTCAGTCCCTCAGTCCCACTCCCTCTTTGAAAGCCTCTTTCCACGGCACCATATGGCAGCTGGGAGAAGGGCAGAGCAGTGATCTAGCTCTTAACAAAAGAGGCTGTGGTGTCAAAAAGCCTCATGAATGCATGAGACACATTCATGTATAGAGAAATGCCTCCAGCTCTGTCAGGGAGGACTAAAGAGAAGGCTGATAGGCCTGACATCGCTTTCGAGTTAAGAAAGGCAGCAGTTCTCTCTGCAGCTCATCTCTTCCACCCTCCCCCTCCTTGGTTTCACGCCAAAATCCTATTAGATCCATTAATGACATGAGACACAAAGTCAGAGTGTGTGGCAGAACAATAAATTAAATTAGGCCACCTTATTTACTCCCTATCACTCTTTTTGAGATAGAATCATACTACTAAAAGAAAAAATGAAACAGGCTTTAATAGCATGCTGAAGAGCAAACAAACAAGCTCTATCCTAAAAATAAAGGGCATCGAGTGCACTCCTGTACATTGCCTTTGTGTGCGTGTTTGCAGCAGAACTGCAAACTTTCAAGGCAACTCTGAAAAACACTTTAAAGCCTATTATTTACTGTTGGGTTTATTTAACTTTCTCAACTTACTCAAGTTGCTGTTGATACAGATGAAGGACTTTGAGGTTGGAAAATTAGCTAGACTTAATATCACATGTGCTCACTTAGCTGTTACAGAACTACATTTAATTTTTGAATAAGAGAGAAATGGAAACTGGCACTTACAACTCCTGCATTTCTTCTTCCTCCTGTTTTGCTTCCTCTTTTTCTGTCTTGGAGATGTTTGGCAAACTTCAGTCCACAGAAAATTCTACAAAATAGAGTCACAACCTTTATATACAAAGTTAACAAAATGAAAGACCAAAGTACATTGGTCCTACAAACTTTTTTCATTACTAGAAGAAAGGAAAAATAAACACTCCTGAACACCAGAATGCAACAGTATGTATTTATGAATAATTTTCTTACTGAGCTGTTACTGAAATGCTGGTTAAACCTTTAAACTAGAGCTGCATTACTACTGCTGCCTCTTCCCCAGAAAGGCCTCAGAAATCACAAAACTTTGTGTCCCTGGGGTTATTTAGAGGAACCTGGGCAAGTTTCCAAATACTGGTATATGTGACCTTTACAAGTACTCAACAATAAGAGTTCCCTATGAAATAAATCAATGAACATGTGTATGGTAACTCAGCAGTGGCACGAAAGTTTCAAGCTGAAATTGTATCAACACAGTTGAATCATCTCCCTACAATCAGCCTGGAAGCTTTTACTGAATGCAGGGCACGTGTAATTATATAAAATACATTTACAGTATTTCACCAGTCTTCCTTCTTGAAATGCACTTAATGTACAGCCGTTGAACAACATTAAGTATGCGTGTATGTATTAGAGCTACTATTTATAGGCCCATCATGAGTCACAGACAATGGAAAATGAGCTAGTTTCAAAAATAAACTACAAAATTAATTACAAAGACTAAAAGTTCCTCTTGAAGTGGCTTTGATGGCGTCTTTTTTAAATGAACTCTGCAACAGATTGAAAAAAAAAAAAGCTATTGTAAACACTGCTTAGGAATGCCTCTGAAACGGCTCTGGGGAGGTAATGTTCATAATATTTGATATACTTAAATGCAGTCAGGCTGGGGGGGGGAAGCCCCCCCCCCCACACACACACACAAATTGTAACAGGCAGACTTTAAGGTCTCATCTGCAAGTGTGACTTGTGCACGGTCTCTGCTCAGAGTGCGGGGAAGGAGAGGAACAATGCCACTATTCAAGGCTTGCCCATTCATTGCGGCCACATCTGTTTACATGGCCTGTGCCCACCCCTAAAAAGGCTGGTCCTCCCACCTCTATTTTATCTCCCTTGGTCTTGAATGGCTGTCTGGCTGAACCTTTTTATTCTGAAAATCTGCAGTTTCAAATTTATTTTATGAGACCAAAGCTGACAGGCAGACTAACAATAACATTTGCACATTTCTATAGTCTGGTTTGAATTTTATTGTAATCTGAGAACAACTGTAAAATTGTCCCAAGCTACCCAGTTTCAAAATGAGTCTAATACATAGGATTTTGGCACTGAACTCATGGGGTTGAATTTTACACTTACTCTTGGTTACGTTCAGTTTTAATATATATATATTTTTTTCTGTAGGAATAATATTATGGTTCAAATATTTTTGATACAATAATGACAGTACTCACAGTAGGAATAGATTTTTATCAACAAAAAAAGCATTTTTTTTGCCATATGTACAACTGTGTTTGGAGTCCATTGCTTTATGTTCTGCACTTCACAAAATGGTTTAGGTAGAAATAGTGACTACAATAAAATTCAATGAATTCAGATACCAGCTCTGTAACATTCAAACCGAGCATCATTTTGCATGGCAGATTCTTTACAGAAACCAACATATTTAAAGAATTTCAGAACGGCTAGAGATCAATAGATTAACCCCATGTTATCACTTGATTAGAAATTTTAACTGAACAGAAAATGGTGAGTGGCCTTCAAAGAGCCAAAGGAAGCCCATGTTAACCAGGGGAAGTAGAAATCCAGAAGCAAAATCCACCGCTGTGCAATTTTTTATTATTATTATTTTTTTTTTGTGGGGGGGGGGAGAGGGGGGCAGGATATAAACTTTAAGTTTCATGAATTCAGCATCAACATGATTTGTGTCTATTGATTAACCATATTAAATGAACTTATAGAAATTTTATCTGAATAAGAAATGCAAGGTCATACGTCTGCCAAAGCCATCACAGTTACCATACCATAAAATTTCTAAATCTGCAAGTGTGCTGAAAACCATGTTGTAGCAGGCATAATGGCATCACAATATATTGTATATTTTCTGTATAATACAGAAAAATCCTACACGTTCCAAGGGAGATTACAAAAAGAAGTTGATAAAGAAAAAAAAATAAAAAACACAAAAACATAGTCCACTACTTATGAAGTATTAAATTTAATCTAATTTAAGCTATTTAATCTAATGACTTCCTTATGCACAAAGCAAAGATTTATTGAAAGGTCCTGGAAGAACTAGGGACTGTTGTTCAAGTCAAGCATTCCCCTTTCCTCCCTTTTTAATAATAAATAGCATGGCCTAAATTTAAATGGTCAAAGGGCAGATAGACCTCATTTCTTGGTCTTCATGTTTATATAAGGTGCAAGAGAAGCTCCTTGACTCTACAGGATGCATGCTGTGGCCAAGTAAGGAGAGAATTTCAATGTTCTCTAGGATTGGACAGATTTGCCAAGCTATAACTAACTCAACATTTCTCAAAAAGCTATACTCAACAAGCTATAACTAACTCAACATTCTAACTCAACATTTGCTCCAGAATCTGCAACCACATCACTGAAATCTTTGGAAGCAAGGAAAGGGGGAAGGTGAATAGCACCAAGCTGTAAACTGAACAAGGGTAGTTTGCAACTTACGATGGTAAATATAGATTAACATGCCAAACTTTGTCCTTCACATGTACCATTGTACCCAAATATCACTGTGTAGCTGCTGCATAAGTACTGTTATCTGAGATACAATATTCAGCATGTACTAGGTCAGACAAAAAACAGTGTGAAATCACAGGCAACGTGAATCCATCCTATATGTATGTACATGTACTGGGAGCAGTACAGCCTTACCACAATAACATCCTTGAGAGTAACCTCCTCTCTGTTAAGTCCCAAGAAGTTTTGACAGTGACTTCACTGGGGCCAGTATATTGCCTTGAAAGGTAAAAATTTACAAAAGAAACTTTGATAAAACATTAAGAGTTTGCCTGAACATTCAAGTGTTGCAAATGCAAGCTGCAGATGTATTTTTTGGAATAAGAGAAGCACCACACAAAAATAGATGGTACGCTAACATGAATTAAATTTATGCACAGACTTCAGTGGATTTTTGCCTTATCTTTTTTCCCCTCTTTTTTTTTTTTTTACTATAATCTTTATTAATAATTTAAAGGTAGAATACGAATAGCTCTGATTACTGCTTTTCACCTCTTGAAAAGAGAGAAAGCCTATAGCCCTCAAGATGAATATTAAAGTCTTCTATCTACTAAACAAGTACTACAAATACAGGGGAAAAGAAAACTCAGCACCTGCTAGCTCACATCCTTGTGTGATGACTTAAAAAGTTGGCTTAAGTAGTTTACAGTCTGCTAAGATTTCCTAAGGGGTTTTCACTTAGTAACCCTCATAATGATATTTTTCTGTGTATATGTTCCCCTAAGAAAGTAGTATGCGCAGGAGCAATCTTCGGGAAAAAACTCTGACAACATTCTGTGTGTTGAAAATTAAGATTCCCTAAGCATGCTCACAGATTTATATTTTACATCTACCTCTTTCCACCTAATTGGAGCAAATGTGAGATTTGTAGTGGTTTTCAAATGATACTGCTTTCATTTCAGAATGGTATTTTGTTTCAAAGTTTACAAAATTAACATAAACATAATGATGTATTTTAAAAGAGCCTGAAAATAAACTGAAGCTTTTCAAAGTAACTCAAATGAATGCACAATTCTGACATATAATTCTTCTCATAGAGATACTGCTACTAAATAGTGACAACTTTTACCATGCTGCCTGTTGTATATAAAGATTATTTATGTCTATCTAGATGCTTATGTTACTTACTCAAATATTTGAACCTGTTGCTTGAAGGCGAGGGGACAGAGAAGGAAGGTGAAAAGACTATATAGCATTGCTAATCCCTTGAGCCATCTGGTCACTTGAGGCCATGCTTTAGATTGTACTTATATTGAAACCTATTCCTTTCATTCAGTTCCCTTCACTGTGTCAATTTATCATTGGCTTTTTTGCTATGTTAGGATTTCTTGCAGTCAGTCATAGTGAGAATCAATCGTCTTTTGATGCCACAGTACATATTTGCACTGGAAAGAGATTTTTACTCATTTCTTCCCCCTCCCACAACTTGCAGTGATTTGTAAAAGTTGCTGGTACATTTTAGTAAAACTTAGTTGAAAACAAAGATAACTTTCTTTAGCAAAGAGGAAAATCATTCCAGTGCCATTTCTGTGTAATCTGGGAGAGTTTTGTTAGATGACTGAGACACTAAAATATGCATACCAAGCAGAGTTCAAAAGATCTGATCCTACCTTACTGTTATCACCTTAAAACTCAGCTATCAGAGAGGTAGCATTTGCATGTTCAATTATCTAAGAATCAATCTGTACCTCCACTTGTATGTTACAAGCCTTTCAAACCTCCTAAATTTGCATCTATACTATGTAGCATATTGCACATTAAGCCTGTCCAAATGGATGATGATTTTCTAGGGTGTACATGAATTTTTGATCTATTGACACGTGCAGTTCTATATGAAGCCAAATCAATCACGTCTCTGCCACGAAGCAGCAGTGAGACTTCACAGCTATTTGACTTCATTAGCTTTCCTACACACTTGACAAAATTACTCTTCAGGACTCTGCAGTTAACTTTCAATAATGTGCAGTCTTTTCCACTATTTCTAGTTTCACGCATAAGATTATTTTTTATATTGTGTTCCCTGAGGTAGCTGCAAAGCAATTCTGTCATAAATGTGCTGCTCCTGTGCACTCAGAGAGAAATCATGTTCTGCTTTGTGCTTTTTCCATATATTAATTAATTCTTTGTAGTACTCTTCTGGCTATATGGCAGCTCTAATTTGTGAACCTTTCCTACTTGGATAACCTTCCTTTAAAAAAAAAAAAAAGAAAAGAAAAAAAAACATTAAAAATGTCCTTTTCACTGTTGCAATTAATTTTGAATAGCAAAATGGAAAGGAAAAATTGTAAACCACAGCACAGGTAGGAAAAGTCAGATCAAAACATCTGAGAAATGAGCAGACTGAAATTCCAAGAGTCTGAATCATTTTTTAAAGTGAGTGAAGGAGGTCAATAGCTATTCAGAAAGGATACTTGAGTTTTTAGCCTTTGTTTCTGTTCCTGATCACTGAATCTCACTGATGAACAGCTCTGCCTATCCATCGCATGTGCATGATACGGAAGCTGGTCTGAAGTTTTGAAATGATCTTTCAGATCTGAGAAAATCAA